TGCAGGTAAATAATTGGACTTGGCGCACGAAATCCGTTCCGCGTTCGACAGTTTTCCGCGTGTTGCGTGGAGTTTTCTCTGGTAGCCTGTACGTGCATGAAAATGTGTCGGTCCGGACAGGATTCCGCTTCATCCAGGGTCCGGTGAATACAGGTTTCACTGCATAAGAAGTTCAACTCGTACTCGTGAATAACAACACCATGTTCAGACTAGATAACCACGTGACAGCATACTGTTTTAAAGCTATATCCTCGCGAATGACGACAAGTCGCGAATCATTACACAGAGCAGTACACGGAACACTACACAGAACGCGTACCTCAAAGCGATCAAAGTAATGTAACCAGCTTGGATTTCCCTGGAGTATACCAAACAGAGCGGCACAGTGAGAACGTCCTCCTTAGTGAAGAGCATAGAAAACCATGACAACCAGAAGCAATGTACTGTCGTGGACATTGAAATCCAATGGGATGGCTGGCGCCCTTACTGCTTTTAGCGCGTACGTGCACTGTAGGTCACGTACACTCTCTAAAAATGGACCAGCAATGCTCGCGGCTGCAAGGCCGACGCCCCGTGGCCGCTTGACTTCTCAACGGATGGCAATGTTCGCTACAGTACGTACATTATTATGACTGTACATGATGCACTATTGCAACACAGGAGATGGTCATATAATCCTGCAGAAGTCCCCAGTAATGTCATTCAATTGAGAATGCATGATAAGTTGATAACAGCATCATTCCTGTTACTGAGTAAGGAGTGACATCACAAGCATGAACATTTACCACTTCACACAACACAATGAAGTATATGCGCGTCGGAAGTGGCAAACTCATGCATGTGACTGACAACTTTCAGACAAGCAAATTGAAATCATCATAATTATGATGATTTCATTGGGTTATGTGAAGGACACCATTGTATTACGATGGCACTATTCACAGAAATGACAGCACCGGTACACTTGTCATTGCACTGCCAGGGTGAGGACTATGAAATGATGAATCATTGATGATATAAGAGAGTGATTTGCACTGTGCCTGCTAAAGCCAGCCAGTGGCAAGCCAGAGAGTGGTGACCTGCCACAGCAGCACGTCACGCAGGTCCCCGGATGTGTAGCGGTAGATGAGAGTGGAGTGGTATGTTCGAGACAAGCTACTGCTTGACCTTATAAGAGTTGGCTGAATGGCCGATGCCATGTATACATGATGCACAAGTACATAACATGACATTGTGTTGGCATGGGCTGGATCCTTTGTGGCTCCTGGGGAGAAAGGGTGCAGCTATGGCATGGAAAGGCCTAATGTACTACTAGCAGTGCCCAACGGAATCTTCATTGCCGGATTTTCAATGGATTGCTGCACGGTGTATGCATGCACCCATTAACAGAGTGCACAGTGCCGTTATGCTTACCGGGTACGCTTCGATACAGATTACCGGTTCTTCTACAGATAATAATCCAGACAAAGTTACAGAAAACCAATGGTGGAGTTAAAACCAATGGTGGAGTTAAAACCAATGGTGGAGTGTATTTTCTAACTAATTTATACAAGGGGCAATACAGAGTGGTGATCACACAAGAATAACATGTACATGTACAGTTGCAGGCCAGCTATCCGAACACATACACTGTAGATCAAGTGAACCACTCAGCCCGCCCACTCAGCCCGCCTACTCGCCTCAGGAGAACAGTGCAATGTCGGTTACACCGTACAGCCTTTCAGGAAAGATCTAGTAGCAAAGAGGCTAGCATGAGGCCAGCGTGACTTAAGTATGTGTACAGTCAAACCTTTCAACTCGGATACTGAGCCAGTAATAAATGTAAACAGAGAAGAAAACACATGAGAACGAGTTATGCAGCAACTATTCACGACTGTAACAAGATGATAGAGTCAGAACGTGCTTGGTTTGTTGGTTTGCGCACTGGAGATGTGCTAGAGCTAGGTCTCACGTTGCTGAATGTCTCAGTAGCCTGTCAGTTTTGTGCCCTATCATCGCACGTTCTGACTCTTCATCATCTTGTTACAGTCATGGATAGTTGCTGCATAACTCGTTCTCATGTGTTTTCTTTGGAGGCAAGCTACGTAGTGAAGGCAGCGGGCCACACACGGACCCATAACCACAGTTGCATACTCGTATTGCTTAGAAAGTGGCCGAACTGGGCCTTGCAAGCAACTGACCCAGCAACCACAAAATAGTTCACCAAGACAGCCTATACTTGACTTACCGCGCAACTTGTGATGTACGGTGATAATCACTTCTGAGTCATAGACGTCGATCGTCAAGGCAACTGGCAGGGTGTCAAGTTCTTGCCAATACCTTTCCTTGAGCTGATTCTAAAAAAGAAGAGGAGAAAATAAAGATGAAGCTGAGAGGGATGTGAGATAGTTTGTGCCCAAGTCCAGAAAATGCACATCTAAAGCTGCATGGTGTAGACCACGCCAAGTGGTGGTGCTGGTCACATCTTCAGACTTGCGAGCTGTTGACTGGTGCAATCCCAGCACAACTTGCTCCACCTACCTAGCATTGTTCACTCACTGCCATGGGTGTGTGTGTGTGTGGTGTGTGTGCCAGCTAGTTCGATTGCTGGGTACACTTATGCGCCTGATTGTGTTGGGTCTGTTGTCAACGGGCTCGATTGATTGAAGGTGTAATGTTGTACCTGCCACCTTTGTTGGTTCCAGGGTTCATATACAGTCGTCCCTCTCTAATCCGACACTTATTTACCCAGCATCCTTGCAAACCAGCACACTTTCTGGTAAAACGGATTTTTCCGTTCATTTTTTACGCTTTAATCCGGCACTTGAATTCCGCCGCCAGCAGCGATTTTCTGCAATAAATCACTCAAACTGTACATAATTCGATTTTCTAATCCAGCAGTTGTACATCGCATACTGTCAGGGACCATTGTAACATACATAACACATGTAACATACTCTTGGGAGTATCCTATGCCAGTGCATAGAATATTCCCGGCAAGTGTAATTATGTTAAAGACATGCATTCCACAAAGTACTTGGATTGACACAGAAAATCCCTACGTTTTGACGTACGACACAAACATGTATGTTAACATGTGGGGCGGGTTGGAGGGCAGGATTTGATAATCCAGCACCCTTGTTTATCAAGCGGAAAATGCTGTTGCAAAAGGTGCCGGATTAGAGAGGGACGACTGTACTTTCTATTTGAAGTATACATGCATGTTAGCCATGGAGTGCTTCTGGCTAGATTAACTCTTGTGTACTGTAAATATACAAAATTTCGGCGCTGCAAAATTTCGGCACTTCACGATTTTTGACATTTCGGCGGCGATTTATTTTCGGCGTGGGGTAGAGGGAATGGTATAGTGCGACAGATGCTGTGAAAAATTTCATCGGCGTTTTAATTTGTGCCGAATATAGCCGCCGAAAATTTGTATATTTACAGTAATCAATGGTGCTAGTGAAGCTTATATCAGATCCACTCTGATTTAGCCACCCACACTAGTAGCAAGTATTACCTTAACTGGGGGCAGGGGTAACTGCAGTTGGATCCCAGGACGGATACCCTGATGCCGTCAATCCTTTTTCTGCACCGTGTCCTCACCCACTTACTGAGGTGTGGTGAGCCCATAAGTGGGATCATTTTCAAGTCCACCCAGAGTTTTGGGGATTTCAGGGGGTGTCGGCTGTTGGGTGGTTCAATAGCCAATTGAGTCATCTTTCCAAGATTCCTTTTGAGTCTCTCTCCCCTCTCCCGGGGAGACCCACGTGACCAGTTTTGGCAGTGAGCAAGTACAGTACAGTGTGTGTGTGTGTGTGTGTGTGTGTGTGTGTGTGTGTGTGTGTGTGTGTGTGTGTGTGTGTGTGTCTACGTGCATGAATGGCTGTGAGTGAGAGATAGATGCCATCAAAGGTGTAGGAACAGTCCCGTATTTAGGCATATGCGGATAATGCCGGCAGAAAAATTGGCAGAATTCGGTACTTTTTCTGGTAAGTTTCATGCATGTTTGGTACATGTATGTGGATAAAGAAATGGAGCAGAATTCGAGGAATTGCCCGCCATAAGCTTTGTATGGTTCTGCCCATTTCACTGCTTTTCGAGCATTATCCGCCAATGCCTACCTGTATTTTGTCATTTATGGACATGGGGGGGGGGCTGGACAAAAGTAAAGATCTTTATAAAAAAAAGTATAGTTTTCAAAAGTCCAAATACCCTCCTAATTATTTTTCAAAAGTACTAAAAATTTGAAAAATTCGAAGTACAAACAGGTCAGCCTGGACATTCTTATGCCTAATAAGTAATAACCGAGCTAAAATTAGCTGCATTATGGCCTAGGGGAAATGTCTTGCATGGATCTACCTGGATTGCACTGTTTGCATGCATTGTTGAGGTGCGTGGTACGAACAGCACGAGACATTTCGAGAATAGACAGAACAACAGTGAATCCCGTTGACCTGCATGTGCGTGCACTTCCCCGGTACGGAACGCTGAGAAAATTCAGTACATGCCCACTTGCCACCACTGCACTACATACCAGGTCGTCATTTGCTAACCTACACAAAAAAGCAAACGAACAAACAAACAAACAAATGATCAAAAAAACGCACACACAATGAGTATACAAACACAGCCGCAGACCGTGGCGCCCAGTGACGAAGTCTTTCGCTCACTAAAAGGTACTACCCAACCACCACTGGCCGCAGCATGACAGGTCAACAAAACGAAAAGTCACAGTTTGCATTAGAGTCAGTCAGACTGACTTTTCCGCATCTGCAGGAACCCTGCCACCCTCAAGAACGAAGGTACAGATGCGGATCCACAGACAAACCAGTAGCTGAAAACACGTACGGGTACCAGCTAAGCATACATGCACAAGCACACACTACAAGCATGCATGCACATGCACACACTAAGTATGCAGGCACATGCACACACTAAGCATATCTGCACAGGCATACACTGAGGAAGCATGCAAGGCCACACACTGAGCATGCAAGAACACGGCCACACACTGAGCATGCAAGAACACGGGCACATGTGCACCACCACCACCACTTACAGGCTTTGGCCTTCGGCAGTGGCCAGGAGGCGATTGATAATTTCATTCTATAACAACAAAAAAAGCATCGGAGAAAACATGGCAGTGTCACACAGCTGAGTACATCCAGACTCACAAGACTGACAGGAAACGAGTGTACATGTACAAGTATACATGTACTTATGTGCTTCTGGTGTGTATCTGGTCAAGTGAGAGCGGTCCAGACACCGTAGCACGGCAGTACATGCTCAGTGAAACTTCAATATCAAATACCCTGGATATACCTTACTTTGACATTTTTTTTAAATGTTGTGGGTTATAACGAAGCTGCAAGAAGCGTCCAAACTCATCTTTGACATACAAAGTACTACAAAAAAGGGGACGTACAGATTCCTGCATGAGTACGAGGGCAGTACCGCAGAATCCAGGCCATGTCGCGATAGCAGCAAGCACTGGATGAACCACAGTACTGACCGAGTATGAGTGACTGGAATGTGTTTACCGTGTGCAGGTCCAGAAGATAGTTCACGATCACATGCACACCACTACGGCTACCGTGAGTCACATGTACATGAACCATTGTCAAAACAAACTATATGCAGTTTGGGTCGAGGGTGACTTCCAAAGCCATGAATTGAGGTGCTATTTCCAGTTAGATGACCATGGATAAGGTGACCACCTGAAGTACACGGGGACCACATTTTGAAGGTGCCTTGAGTGGTGGGCTTAGACAGGTTTCACTGTATATATCCTACGGTACACTACAGTATACACTCAACACAATACAAGTCAGTGCATTATCAAAATTTCACCAGTTGTAGTCTTCGGGGTGCCGAGTCGAATGGTCTTGGTCCGAGGAAGCTGAGACGCTCCCTTCCTACTTTAATCCCAATCGAACTCTCGCACTTCCACCGAAACTGGGTGACTGCGCCCTACTAGATGGGGATTTGTATGCAAAATGTCACTAAAAGCACCATTTCGTTCTTATAAAAGCACAGATGACCGCGATTGGCCCATATGTTGTAGTCTTTTGGATGCTGAGTCGACTGGTGTTGGTCCGAGAAAGCTGCGATGCAGCGTTCCTCCTTTATTCCCAATCGAACATGGTTGAACAAGCGGTCACGTGCTCCTGCGTGCCCAAGTCACCTGGTCACAGCGCCAGCAGGCGACAACTTTCCCACCAAGGTTCAACTCGAGTTCAACTCGAGTGACAGGAGTGCGCCCAAAAAAGGTCAAACAGGCTGTAAGTTGTACCCTGCAGGCGCTAGGCTAGGCACGGTGACCAGGTGACTAGTGTACGCAGGAGCACGTGACTGCTTGTTCAAGCGGGTTCGATTGGGAATAAGGGCCGAACGCTGCATCGCAGCCTTTTCGGACCAAAACCAGTCGACTCAGCGTCCAAAAGACTACAACATATGGGTCAATCGCGGTCATCCGTGCTTTTATAAGAACGAAATGGCGCTTTTAGTGACATTTTGCATACAAATCCCCATCTAGTAGGGCGCAGTCACCCAGGTGGAAGTGCGCGAGTTCGATTGGGATGAAAGTAGGAAGGGAGCGTCTCAGCTTCCTCGGACCAAGACCATTCGACTCGGCACCCCGAAGACTACAACTGGTGACATTTTGATTTTAGCCTTAACTTCCCCTTTAAGAAAAATGACTCCTCTCCCACACACAATCCCACCTACCATGGTACTGGCAAAGAGCTCCTCCAGCAGGCTGAAACCGAACAAAGCAAACAAGACCACACACCGACACATTGACGCACAAAGACAAGCACAGAAAGGAGGCGTGCACAAGCAAACACAAGAAGAGGGGTACAGAAACCAGAAAGAAGTAACACTTTGAATAAGTTGGTCGCCAAAGCAGTCACCAACATGCGGACACACGATCCAGCTACACCAAGGAGCACGGAGCAAGCAGAACGTACACAGTGGTGGCTGACGATAACACGGCTCTGACAGCACTACAACTGACCAGGTCCGGACAGTGCAAACAGCAAGGAGCTACTGAAAAGAAGCATAGCAGCATCTACATTCTAATTATGGTCTAAGCTGATGGGTGCGGACAGCTATATGTACTAAGAAGTATCACCTCAAACTTTGCGCTGTCACCATGTCAGCCAACAGTGGCTTGCTAAATGTAGCTCGCGAAACTACATCGATATGCATGTGTGTGTGTGTGTGTGTGTGTGTGCGTGCACGAGCGTGCGTGCGTGTCAAAATATTACGACCATGCTAAGTAACACGCCAAGCTTGTAAATCAACAAGGCTTCCTTGGCGACAGCTGCACACGTACGTACCACTGCACTGGTAGATGCATATCTGCATACAGCACAGTATCACTCTAGCACTGACTTTGGCACCTAAGGCTCAGGGCACCAGTTACACTACAGTCCGTACGGTGTTGATTGTACTATGCCTCGTCCCACGTACATATACATGTACATGTACCTGCAAATTAATGAAATGCGATGATTTTCGACTTCAGCAATTCAAAAATCCGTCGCAATAGCGCAAACATACTCTGCTAAACAGGCATCCCACTGGTTGGTTGCACCACCCAAATATTAATTTACCTTCCGGCGCCTTTAATACAACAGTGCTAACTTACTCATCCAAGTCACGACCTAAGTCCAATCCGCATCTTATCAGATGCCTCGACAGTTGTGAGTTGCAGTGGCAAAAAGAGACAATACCGCAGCCTGAAGACTGGATCTAACACGCACGGTCTGGATTATCAGTCAGCGCATCACCGTACAGGGGTTGAACTGCAGTGCTTTGCTTCAACCGAATGGCAGAAAGAATGCAAGTGATCCGTTTGTCATCTGCGCGTATTAAAGCTGGGGGAGAACCATTACACCAATGCACTGCAGGGTTCTAGCTACAAACAATCTGGCCTGACTTCCAAAAATGCCACCCGTTTGAAGTTGAAAACAACGAAAGGTTATGTCGGCAGAGCTCGTGTTATTCGGACCCGTACAGTGTTTCTACGCTATGGTTAAGCATGGCTTCATTAATCTAGGGTGTGTGCCGTCACCGACTCACATTTAACACGTGTGTGTTGCGCAATTGGTCCGTAGCGTTATGACCATGTCAGTACACGTACAAACATGTACCAGTAAAACTTAGCAGAGCTGCAGTCCTTGGCAACAGATCAAACACGGGTATTTCGTGAATATAAAAAAGCATTATTCCAGTAGCTATGCAAAAGACGTTACTTCAGTAACGTCTGGTGCTAGCCAGGGTCCACACAGCAACGTGAATAACGTGAAGCAACTTGGATATATATATATACGTGAAGCAACTTGGAAGAATGAGTATGTATGCGAAGTGTATCGGGGGAATGCATGCAGGGCGATAGTGCGGGTTCGAATCCCAGGTTGTCTTGAAAAAAATAGGAGAAATGAAAAAAATTATAACATCCCTATGCTTTTTTTGCCTAGGTCATCAAAGTGGTAGACAGTGTCGTATTATAAGCCATTCACACGATGTGTAAACACTTGGACGTGTGTGACCAAGATAACACTGGCAAACCGTGATCCAGTTCACACGGTGCTGGACAAACTTTGGAACCGTCAATGTATCCATAGTGACCTCCTGAAAATGCCGGGAAATGTTAAATTTTGAATCTTCCTTTGTTTAAGCACTGCATTTGCAGTACGCACGTTCAACAACCGACGCTTTTCCTGGCGTGCAAAGATAATCGCGAGCAAAAGGGCCTCGGCCAAGATAAAAAATCAGTTGCATGCGTGTGTCCAAGTTTATCGTATCCGAGTAAATGCCCTTGGAAACGGTACGATAAAAGTGAGTTTGCTCGTCGTGTGAATGGCCTATTACCCTCGAATGCAAAGAGAAAGTTTATATAAGGCCAAAACAAAAAATAGGCTTGTTTCCGGTCGGCAACCCCTCAAAAAAGAGACTCGGTCGGCCGGAATGAAACTTTTTTTGGATACTTTTTTTGGTTCCTCAATCGTTGTGGCATCGATGGACAAGAGCACCTACACATGTACATGTACATTGTACATTATATCATGGCAAGGATCGATGTCAAAGTAATTTTTAGTTGACTGACTCACTGTTCTTGTACAGCATGTGGTGTATTCCTGTTTTCGTACATCCTGAGAAATCAAGCAAACAGTTCGAGTCCTTCCAGCTCCGTTATTCTACCTCGTATCGACCACTGAGGTTTTTGAACCGACAGCTGAGAATCTCTGCTACCTTGTAGGTGTTTCGATTGTGGAATTCGGTTGAGATTTGACTGAGTTATGACTCGTTTAGTGCACTTGCACACATGGCATTGCCACCGTTTGCATACATTTGGGACCAAAAAAAAGTTTCAGAATTTGGGAAAAAGTGGCCCGGTCGGGCGACCGGAAACAAGGTCATTATTTGTTTTGGCCTAACCCAATAAATTCTGCAATCACTTTTGCCTAACTCATATTCAAACTGATTGAAACGTTTTTGCAATACAATGATGTAGCCAATCAATGGAAAAAAATTCCCATCAGTTCTATAAATAACACATAATGAGCTAGGCAAAAAAGAATAGCGTAGGGCCCTGAGCTTCCAAGCTCTCTCGTTTCTCAGGGAGATATCTCAAATCAATTCAAACAAATTTTAAAAGGTCGGAACTGTACAAATCAATCTAGAGAATATCCCAGTCACTAGTTCATCTGCGAGGCCGAGCGCCTTAGGTAATAACTAAGTCACTCCCTCAGACCATGCTAAGCATGATAGAAATGCGGGTACCATAATGTAAGAACTCACCTGAATTAAAAGACTCTCGGCACATTAGCTAGTTGAACTGGGACGCGTACCAAACCAGACCGGGCTCCGTTTTTTCAAGGAAGGCATCATTTCTACCTGCATGATCGTGCAACGAGAGCTACATGTAAAAAAGTGGTTGCTGGTGACCAACAAATTACTTCAGCCATTGTTGATTTCCACTCTGATCACTCAAACAATCTTCGTCCCACGCACGCCTATTTTATTTAGGTCAGCTTCGACTCAGTTCGAGTTTGATCTTTCGAAAGTCCATGGACCATGTTATGACAGCTAGCTAATGTTGCTAGCTGTACAGCTACGTAGATCTACAGGTAGGAAATGTAGGCCATGTGCCAAGCCAAGTGCATCATGACATAATGCGTGATTCACGATTGATCGATCAGTACAGTGGATCACGCATTTTGTTTGTTTTTGTTTTTGGGGTATTTATCGTACAGCCTACACTACAGGTGAAAAGTAACTAACAAAAAATTTAATACTTTAGTTAGTTATTCGTTACCAATCACGGTGTGGTACCTAGTAGACCTACCTTCTTCCTTCACGAGGTGACGAGATACCACAAGAAAACGTTCCAGAACCTAAACTTATTTCGTTGCTATGTTTCTGATATGAGCGTGCGCATTTTCATGCACTAGCAACTGAGTAGGTAAGTAACTAACGCCGGACTACACCATGTACCAGTCACAGTGCACTCTTGCTGTGACAGCATGATATCAAGACAAGATCAGAGTGGGGTACGTTATCATGGTTATGGAGTCTTGATGATATTCCCGGGGGGGGGGGGGGGGGGGGGGAGGGGGGGGGGATATTGATACACAAGTAACAAAGTTAGGCATGGACAAGTACTAGTAGAAACTGGTAACTACTTGTAGCCTAATAGATTCAGTGTTTTGCCGGGTCCCGCAAATGATGCCACTTTCAGGCATTGGATTTGCAAGTGAACAGGGACGACCTTGCCATTGGGCACCACTGACCGATGGCCGCTGTAGTGTTCACATACACATACATGTAGACTGGGCACCCTGCACTGGTTTACCCTTCTCTGTTTCCATATGCCGGTCCCCGCCACCAGTGTCACAGCACGCACATTGCACTGCCGTGGCATGCGGGCACACCACCCATCAACACTTTTTAGGCATCATAATTTTAAAACAAAGCAAGGACTTCGGTGCTAGTACATATATGGCGGCAATGGCGCTGCGGGCAAGTGCCTTATCTACTCCATGTCCTTGCAGCCCAGACTATCACGTCCGAAGGAAGAGTCCTGGCAATGTGTAAATACTACAGGCCCACACAGGCTCACGAGTCATGACGCATGAGTACCTCGCCCGACACGGGCTTGAATTTGCGTGAGCGGTTTGCGAATTCTGAACTCTACTGAGCTCAGCTCAGATTACTTCCAGTCGCACAACCGTGAAGCCCTGTGACTGTATGCACAAGCAGTTTGCACCCAATGTCATTGAACCTGCACACACTAAGTGGCACGGTTGCCTCTCAGACTTAGTACAATCTTCCACACGGATACACGGGCAGAAACTGTTTGATCTTGAGCTAAGTCTTAATGTCGCAAATAAATTATACTGAGGGCAAACCACACAAGAATAATAGCTGAATATTGCATTCAAAATATCAATCCATAAGCAAAAGCAGCCGATAATCCCGGCTAACAAAAGAGCTGCAGCAGCAGCGGCATCATAAACAATGGAATGTTGACTATGGTTGTCACCGAGTCGCTAACCTGATTTAGAACCGTTATGATGCAGGTGCCAAACGGATCCATCCAGATTCGAATTCGCTATCACTATCAGCGAGCTTACGCTGCGCCTCTGTTCGGTGGCATACTCAGTTTCTATTTGTACCAACTCGCTGCTTGAAAGTAAAGCCGTACAGTATGGGTTAGCTCGACATTCCAGCACAGGTCGCAATCCAATCCAGAACCGCTGAGTAAGGGGCTCCACGAGATGACCACCAGCTGATGCTTGTATCGAGTTGACTGTCACAGCTGCTGCGCGCTGCATGTACATCTGCGACGGTCCTATGCAAAATTCTTGCGATAAAATTTACTCATAAAGTCGGTTTTTCTTTGCCTCGCTGTCGGCTCAAAGTTTCTCATGACATGACTGGGCACTTGCCAGCCCAAACTGGTTTCTTCCAGTAACAGCGTTCCTTTCTTGATCAAAGAGTCCACCACTCTCAGGTCCTGCACCGCCTGGTTCTTAGCAAACTCGGCCCTGATTTTAGCCTTCGCTGTTTCTTCGCTGATTCCTAGATCCTGTTTCTTGCAGGCGGCTGACGCTTGACGCATCCATGCTTTGTAGAGCGACAGTACCCTCAGTCTAGCCTCGTCTTGATTGCTGGAGAGCAGTGGTTTTACTCCCTTCGGCAAATCCTTCACCACCAGTGACGCAGCCCTGCCTGCCGACATTTTTTCTGGCTAGCTCTCCTATGAGTATTGATCTTGGGGCAAAGACGCGTTTGTCAGCATTCGCAAAGAGTGAACGACTACAACTGACAACTCGCCGAACCAAGGGCGAAAACACACTCGCAACGAACTGCAACAGTAAAAGTAGACTCAGTCAGTGCAGAGTACATCATGGTACATAGTGCACTGCCAGTGCATTCAGTTGGTCCCTACAAAGTATGTAGATCTACCGGTAGGCCTACTCCCCGGCTAGATCCCTGATATGAACGCAGGCTTCAGAATCACCATGATCACACTCACAGGCCGTATTTTTTGTTGTGCATTTTTTGTTTCAAAAACTATTAAAAAAACTTTTCAAATACGTGTTCATGAATTCGCACAGTAAAACTAGCGTAAATTAATCAAATCTCAGCAAAAGGCGGGACACAAAAATCGTGTTTCATTTTCAAAGTCTTGACTTTATTGCCAATATTGGTCTTCCAGACCATGTTCTTGATCAATTGAGCCAGTGAAGGCTGAGTGAAGAAGACTTGCAGTTTGGTTCTAGGACCACTGGGTCTGTCCACAGCAGAATTTTGTACAGTATGCGATTCTCCTGTACGCTGCAGAAACTCTTGCGCGTCGGTCTTTGATTTGGCGTAGTCTGCTATAATCATTATGTTTTGAGATTTGATTTGAATGTTCACTTCACTTGCGATGTTGTCATAATAGTTCTACAAACACCCATTAGGATTCAGTGAGTCTGGCACGCGCTCAGCGTGGAGGTGGTAAGCTTGAGGTACAGCACTGTAGATTTCTCGAAGCGTATGGAGACATCAACACGAATGGCCAATGTGAGCTTCACACAATGCTGTGTACTGTACTGATCCTTTTGAAATTGTTCTTGTTACAATTACCGTGCTATGCCCATGTATACGCGCATGTACATGGGCGTAGGAAACTACCGTATTTCCCCGTAAGTTAGTTCTCCCCAATGACTTAGTACCCCCTATAAAAAATACACTTTCCACTGCCGAGGTTATCACCCCGAAAGACAGTTCCCCCCGAAAGATAGTAAGTAAGTTCGTACCCGTCCTACATGTACAGACACCGTACAGTACATACATCATATGCACGGACACTAGAGTTGCGCAGGCTTCCCACTGCGTGTCATTTACCCCCGATAAAAAAGCACTCCCCGAAAGTTAGTACTCATGTGGCTGCTAAGTTCGAAAGTTAGTACGTACTAACTTACGGGAAAATACGGTAGTTTCGATTGGTCCGGCGTTGCCCGATGAACGTAATAGAGGGTACGGGGATTTCCCTGCAGGAAAGTTTTGAAGAAAAAAAGCAAACCAAATACTGAGTAGTAGCTTTTGAGGGCATTTGCCACACTTGCATGATAAAATATGAACCCCAGTAAATTCATGGGTGGGTGAGGAGCAAAGCGAAAAAAATACCTCCGACGTCAAGAGTACGTGAACTGCAGAGTGTGCAGCTAGCTTCTGACTTTTCTGCATGAGTGGCTGTCGCGGCGAAATTCCGGGACTACATCATAGTTGGTGTAGACATGCGGCGGAAAGTGGTGTAGTGCGTACAAATGAGCTGCAGTTGTGCAGCAGGAGACCTGCTTGAATCCTGCTTGTACGCACTACATCACTAAAATGATGTAATCCCGGAATTTCGCCGTGACAGCAACCCATCCGAGCTGCACGGTATGGGCTTTATGTAGTCTTGCCGACGCCCATGATGTACATTACATAAGAATTGCTGTTGTGCATGTATTGATTGTATTCCTTTTCATATACCGTAAAGTACCGTTGATCCGCCCCCCCCCCCCCCCCACGCCATGTCGCTTCCCAGCTGGATTTTCGGCAGGGGGTGGGAGTTAGATCAAGGCTGTCAAGTGCAGTACGATGTACAACAACGTAGAGGATCAGACTCTGTGTGCTGGATTGTGCACATTTTCATCCTGGATTGGCACGTATTTTGTACAGCAGTGCATGCGTCGGTTCAACATCGTATTTCGTTGTATACGCCGAAGTCGCTTCACAGGTAGAAAATCGACAGGGGGCGGGAATTGGAGAGGGGGGTGGATCAACGGTACTTTACGGTACTAGTAACATTCCAGGCAGTCTAACCTGGTTGGATGAGCTACTTGTATGCTTTGCGTGCAGCATGGTACCTGCGCAGTTTTGGAAATACCAGGTGTCCTTTGCGTAGACTTGATGAGCCCTCCTTTGTATTGCAGTGCATGCAACACTGCACAGCCTGCATGCGCCCCTCTTAGCATGACAACTGGCGACGTGATGTGGGCATGGCAGCACGCCGTGCCAGGCCCCGTATACGGAGCTGCTTACTCTTGCGGCTATGGACTCTTGCCGGTAGCCTAATGGGGAGAGCACTGTCCAAAAAGAAAGGTGTCCTGGGTTTGAGTTCCAACCGTGGATCCAACTTTTGGAACGCTAGTACAGTACTAGTAGTGATGGCTGGTGGGTGTGCAGGTATAGGATATTGTAACTATTCAGCCAACGTAAGACTGGCTACAGGATACTGTGGCTGCTCTACCTGGGCCCTACAGTCAATTCATAAAAAGATGAGCGTTGGCTCTGGAGAGCTCCCGTATTTGGCGATTTTTCGTGATTTTATCGTACATATATGCATAGTGCAGTGCCAAAAATTTGAAGTTTGAAAAAGGGTCCGAAAAGGTACCTCAACTGGGGGTTCGAATCGCACAATGCAGTGATGCAAGTGGAGTGAAACGGAATGGATTTTCATGACCTTTCCCAATTCAGTGCTTACAAGACAAAACCTGGCCAAAATCCTATTCTTGTTATGGCTTGCTTTTTGGAGAAATGGACTTCAGAAACATAATTGGAAGAGCATTCCGTGGGGGTTGCAGGAAAAATTGTGAAAAAACTCAAAATTTGACCCATTTATAGCCAAAAACTAGGGTATCATCTTTTCTGAATGGACTGTAGTATAGTGGTTTCACAATAAAACAATTAAACATGGCTGTCCCGTGTGGTCATGTGATAGGTGTGAAATCACTCTATAGCTCATGCACAAACCTGGACATATCGTTTTTGTGCCAATGGACGGAGGAGGCATTACGATGGATCGTCAGTAATTGTGAAAGGCCTGTTGCTTTGTTTTTGTTTTATGTATTAAAAGAGAAAAAGGTCCTTAAAGGCTCACCATCCGAGTTTTTTGTTTTTACTTTGCTTTCCTTTGCCCGTGGGGTTTATGTCGGTGTCTGCTTGACTTTGCGTGTACATACACTCATAGCTGTCCTATCCGGGCGGTCTGGGTCCGGGCACTGCCTTAACTCTGAATCCCGTACATTTTTGATGGGGAAGTGCCAGAGAGGTCACCGTTTTCGAATGGCAAAAGAGTAGTGATATTTCCACCGAAACTCACCCACAGGGTGCCCGGGTAGGCCGAGGTGCCCAAAACTTGGAGGTCCGGATAAGAGAGATGTGAGTGTACTTGCTTGCTTTGTGTATTTTGATCTGACTCTGTGTCAATGGCTGTGTGCAGACTACTACGGAAGCATCAACAACGGACGCGGCCGGTGTGAAGCAGAACCCCGATGCCGTGCACCAGGAGTGCGGCGATTTGTACGAGGCAGTCCAAAAGACTCACGTGTCGCTTGCAGCGTGTCGTCAGTCGTCCTCTGAGAAGGTTCTAGTGTTGCGCAACAAAACATATGAGGATATTTTAGAAATTGCGGTAAGTATGCACCTTGAAATGCTCAGTGAGATTCTTTTTAGACCACACATGCTATACTGCACTTCCACACATTTAAAATCTTCTGACCACTGAGTCGGGCTGTGGTGGTCCCAGGAAGATGCGACGCTCCATTCGTCTTTGGTTCCCAATCGAGTTCATGCACCTCTGCTGAAATGGATCGGGAATAAGAGTTGACCGATGTGCTAGTACCGCAGCAGTCTTTAAAATCCAGCGACCAGACGAGTACAGGTTCTGAAGTTTCTTCATTCATAAGAATGAAGTGAGGCTTCAGCGAAGCTGTCTGTGCATCTCCCTAACTAGTAAGGCACGGTGTTTCCATTTCAGTGGAGATGCGCAAATTCAATTGGGAACATAGACCAACTGAAGTGCCGTAGCTTCATTAGATCAACACCATTCGACTGCGCACCCGGAAGTAAAGACTACAAGTAGTGATTGAAACTTTGATTTTAGGGCTGTGTTTCCCCTTTTTGTCTGTTTAGTAGCCCGTGTGTGCGTAGAGTTGTGGGCTAGAGTGTTTGTCTCACTAATCGATGCATGCAGTGCAGTGCACAAACCGTACTGTTGTGGACTTGTGCTTTTCATGTTTCTTTTCAAATTCGATTTATTTACTGTAAGACATGTATATATAACGAGGAAGCAAATCTAACGATTTAACGGATGACATTTCTCCGTTATAATAAGATCCGTGGAGGCCGTACTGCTTCATATATGCTGTGTGTGGATATGGCAGAATACTGCAAGATCGTTAACATATCTTCTCGTTAACCTATGAATTTTGGACAATCGTTAAAATTTGCGACTCGTTATAATAACATGTCTTACAGTAGTTGCCCGTGATATAGGAATGGATCAGTTCACTCGAATTTCACCGAGAAACTGGATGAGTTTGAATGTAAACCATTGGGATTATATGCATAGAATTGAGTCCTTGACGTTTCATCTGAGTTGTAACCGAATGGCGCCTAGTAGCATGCACTATGATCCGACACACCGCCAAAGACAACAACCGACCGTTCCTGCTTCGTTCTAAGATTCTGTTGAGTAAGAAAAGTGTACGGTATTATATGTGACCAAAAAGATACAGTGAAAGAAAAGCCTAGCAAAGCATTGCAAGGCACGTTGGCTCGGCTGCGTTGGTTCAGCTGCACGCTAGTGCAAACATGCAGATCGACAATGTTGGGCGGAAACCAAACACCACAACATTGCCAGAAACTAACTTGTTCACACCTACATACAATCATGAGTCCATACCGTGTCTGGTCTGGTTTGTTATGTTAGCAACCTAGAATGCATTGAACACATGGATTCGATCACACATTCCCCCCTGGTAACACAACAAAACAGGGAACTTGCACTAAAACGTAGAACTAAGGTTCTCCAAAGAAAAGAACAACACTCCACCAACAGCTAAACAAGAGAACAGCAAAATGCGTAATGGGTCTTGCATTTGCTAGCTTGCTCCTAACTAAGCACGCGCCAAGGTAGACTGATAACACGGCACACATACAGTTTCAGGAGCCATAGCGCTGTGGTGGCCTAATGGCAGATCTGTCTCGCAGTGACATGCGGATGCCGCCATCCCCAATGTTGGGCTCAGGGCCTGGCAGCACTGATGCTGGCTGGTACAGATAACCACCATCTGTAGCCGCTGCACTGTCGTCCATCAGCGCTGTTGGTTGGGCCAAGTCACGGGCGACATCCCTCTTGATGATCTCCACGTTGACAATCTTCTCCGCTGAGTGTGGATCAGCAGCCCGGGTGATGACAACTGTCGACGGCGACACAACGCGAACGATGCGCCACCCAGGCTCGTACGGTGCCAGGCATTTGCGGCTCCGGGAAGGCCGACGTAACAGCACCGCATCCCCTACGCTGTACTCTGCTCCTTCAATCACGCTCTCTGTGTCGTTCCGAGAGAGCTCTTCGTTTACGAGGTCTCGCACACGTGCCGTCTTCTCTGCCAAGCTTTCAACCCAGCTTGACAAACTGAGGTCTTCTTCCTCGCGCTCGACCAGGAGGTTGCGTGGTTCCCATCCCATCATTGCGGCGCATGGCGAAATCCCAGTAGCACTGTGCGGCCGCACCCTGTAGTAGTAGAGCAGCATGCTCAGCTCTGTCTGCCAATCGCTGCTGTACTCGACCACTTTGCGGATAAGACCCAGCAGCGTGCGATTGAAGCGCTCGGCTCCCCCTTGGCTCTGAGGGTGGCGCACAGCTCCATGCCTCACATGTACGCCGAATATCGATAGCAGAGACGACACCACACAGTTAACAAACTCCGTGCCGTTGTCACATCGAATTACGCTTGGTGGGCCAAACCGGGTGCAAATACCAACAAGCGCCTCCGCGACACTGACACCATCATGGCGGGCTAGGGGTACGACTTCCACCCACCGTGTGAACATGTCCACACACACGAGGACACAATGGTAGGAACTACTGCGGCTGGGTCCCAGCTCTAACGTATCAATCTGGATGACTTCCCACGGCCTGGTTGGTAGGTCGCTTCTCGTGGCTGGAGGGTTGGGCTCTCCTCGCGACGGGTTCGCTGCACGGCACGTCCCGCAGTCTCGGACGACTTCCTGGCAGCGTTGCGCCATCTGTGGGAAATGACAGCACTTCCGAAGACTGCCCCACATGGTCTCCCAGTTACCATGTCCGGTGTTGCGGTGAGCAGCACCGACGGCTTCACTCTGCAGTGCAGTAGGCAGGACCGGTACGATCACATCACCATCGACGGGGTCCACACGACTGAGGTACAGGACGCCATCAATAACACGCAGCTGACCCTTTGATTTCTTGTACAGCTGGCTCGTCACTTGCTTTCCATCCTGTAGCTGTGTCACTGTCAGCTGCACGTCCGCATCTACCGCTTGGCACCCGCGGATAGACCGCATCGACGTTGGCCCCTTCATAGAGCTTGCTGGTAGCGCTGCTGCGATTTCACCTGCTTCCTCCCGACAGGGAGGCCATGAGGTCGGCACGCGGGTGAGCCGATCTGCAACGTTCGACTCCGAGGGGACCCACTCCACGGACACCGTCATGCTAGCAGCAGCCACAGTGTCCTGAAACACCTGCAGGCGGAGACGGACGAGAGACTCGTGGAGACCCCCGACCTTCACGCGATGAGTATTCTGCGAGACCGAGCGCAACCAACCAGCAACCGTCTTCGAGTCGGTCACGATGGTCAGGTTCTTGACGTCCCACCGGATGGCCAGATCCAGCGCCTTCAGAGACGACTCGAGCTCCGCCACATTGATATGACGCTTGTCTGCTTTGTCTCGCAACCATGAACCATCCTCGACAACCTTGCCATCCTGCGTGAGCACCGTGGCAATTGCCAGGTTGGACGCGTCACAATACGCTCGCCACGTACCCATCGTTGGGTCAGCGAACCACACTCCGCTAACGGGATCATCATTGCACAGGCGGTGAACAATGTCGCGGCAACACTTCAAGACAGCATCCGGTACAGCCTGATCCCATGCCACCTCTGACGTGCAGGCAAGGCGCTTGACATACGAACACGATGGGCGCAGCCAGGCACACACAGGGTAGTGCCCAATCACTCTGCCACACCAACTAAACAGTTCACGCTTTGTTGGTTTGTCGGGTAGCTGTAGAGACACACCTTCGCGACGCGTCCACGACACACTCCCCTCGTCATCAGCCTGAAGTTGCAGACCTAGCACACGCGCACTCACGGCTGGCTCAGCCGGTTTGGTTGGCAGGCCATACTCCAGGAGCCGCGACTTGGTGCGGTCGACGAGCTGCTCTGGGACGTAGAGATCATCCACGTAGTTGTCTACGCCAGCGAGATCACGCGTGGCCCACTTCACGATCAAGTCCATTGCCTTTGGAGCCACGGACAGCCCGAAGCCCATCCGCTCCAGGACGTACACTTCGCCACGCCACACCACGCACTGATAACGCCACAAATCGGGATGAATGCGTACCTGTAGGTACGCTTTGCTGATATCCAGCAGCTGATACGCTTGCGGAACGCCCGCTTGACGCCACCTCCGTAGCGTCTCGCCACATGCCGGAGCGTCGGTGCCAGGGTGCGACGTCAGCTTCTGGTTGAGGAGCCGGTAGTCGAGGCAGGGCCGAACTGGCGTTGATGCCTTATGCTCCTGCGTAGCAGCGAGCAGAGGCAGCACACATCTCGGCTCACCATGCTTCTCGACGTCATGCTTCACTAGCCAGCCGTTGCCGAGCCATTTTTCAACCTCATCTCCAAATAGCTGTTCCTGCTCCTTGGAGAGCTTGGATCGTGGGTACTCTCCAAGGCCTGACCCGATGCACGTAGTCGGCTCCGTCTTGTCCGCCCATTGCCACTGCACCTCCCACGCCTTGTCAGCCGTACTCCACCGGAGGATCATATCTGATGCCCGCAGCACAACATCGCCATTGCTGAGCTTCTCCACGTCCGCGTGGTGAAAGTCTTCAGCGACGGCTCGTGCTTCCGACTCGGGGCGTGACGGATGCTCATCTGGGGTGCTCGACGCCAGCACCAATGGGCATGCAGCACTGACGGTCCCGAATACAACCCCCACCAGTTCTCCTGCGTCATACTGCATATGCACACCACCCAGAGTCGCGATGCTGTTAACTCCAATCAGCACATCAGCCTCCACGACAGACAGGTCGTCCACCACCAGCATGTCAGTCTCGGTCTCACGTAGGCGAACCACAGCACTATCCAGCCGTGAGATTGTACACTCCACGACGCCACGGACATCCACCGGACTGCCATCGATCGCATTAATTGTCGATGACGTAGGCCTGATATCCAAAGCTAGGTCGGTTGCCAGGGCGCTAGCTACAAGGGAGCGGGATGCACAGGTGTCCACAGCAGCTACTACACGCTTGCTTGGACCGCCGGACCGTTTGATGTCCACAAAGATCCGTGGCAGACTGTCACCTCCACTGCTCAGGCATAACACCTTGGAGTCACCATGATCACCAGAGTGCACAGGAGCAGCGGCTGCACTCCCACCCCGCTGCTTCTTCTGCTTGAAGGCCTTGAACTCCGAACAATCTCTCATCATATGCCCAGCCTCGTCGCAGAATAAACACGTCAGCTGACTGTGTTTGGCTTGCTTGTGGCTACCGGTACCACTACTCGTGCTCGCAGGGCAGTTCCGCTTGAAGTGGCCAACTTGACCACACTTGTAACACAGGACACGTCTTGCGGAGTCGCGACCTACACCTGCTGCAGCGGTCATCCTGGAAGAGCCTGATGGAGCCCGATCGTCTAGAGCACCGTAGCTCACTGCTGCCACACCGGGCTTCATCGATCGTTCCACGCTTCTAAGCCGCCTGACGTACTCCACGCAATCGTCGATGGTGTCCGTTTTTCCACTCATACGGAGCTCCTTCGCAAACTGAGAGGGGAGCCCGGAGAGAAACTGCCCGATCACTATTTTATTCTTCCCATCAGCATCAACCTGCTCACCAGACAAGGTGAGAAGCCTCTTCAAGTCCGCTGCGAAGTTGTCCACCGACTCGTCTCCTCGCAAGATCCTGGACGTAAACATCGAGTATGCTTGATCCGGTGCCATCCCAAAAGCGGCGGTCAGCTTCGCTTTCACATCGGCCGGCTTCTTCTTATCCGCTGCCGCCATCTCGTTCCACACGGTGAACGCCTCACCCTCGAGATAGAGCGGTAGATTCGCCATCTTCTTTTCGTCCGAGTCCCACTTCTGCAAGTCCGCGACAACTGAGAACTTCGCCCAGAATTCGCTCAGGTCGTCCCGACCCCCGCGGAACGGTCTCAAGAAGCATTCGACTTTGGCCATCTCGCACTGCTACCCAATTCGCCCGACTAATCCGAGTTACAACACAAACTCCTGAGTCCCGGGTTTCGGCACCAAAAAGTGCTGTAACCGAATGGCGCCTAGTAGCATGCACTATGATCCGACACACCGCCAAAGACAACAACCGACCGTTCCTGCTTCGTTCTAAGATTCTGTTGAGTAAGAAAAGTGTACGGTATTATATGTGACCAAAAAGATACAGTGAAAGAAAAGCCTAGCAAAGCATTGCAAGGCACGTTGGCTCGGCTGCGTTGGTTCAGCTGCACGCTAGTGCAAACATGCAGATCGACAATGTTGGGCGGAAACCAAACACCACAACATTGCCAGAAACTAACTTGTTCACACCTACATACAATCATGAGTCCATACCGTGTCTGGTCTGGTTTGTTATGTTAGCAACCTAGAATGCATTGAACACATGGATTCGATCACAGAGTTCTCTGTAGTACTATCATCTGTTTTGTGTGAGAGATCTTTAGGAGGTCCTTTCTTTTTGTTTTTGAGTGTAGGTGTCGACTCACCAGGCAACTTGCTTGCAGTGCCAGTCTTCCTTCACTTTTGTTGTTACTTTGGTATGTTCACTCTCTTGTCTCTGTGTAGGAAGTGGCCCCGTCTCTCCAGAGTGTATCCTTACCATCTGACACCTTCTGTGAAGGTACGGTACGGCATACGAAACGTGGAATTTGATATTGAAGACATTTTTTGCAGAAGAAGTGCTATTTTCTCTGTTCTAAGTTGCTCTCTGGCATGCATGCATCCCAGAAATGATATTTGTATGGGGATACTAAGTCTTCTGTACATTTGTTGTACTTGTGGAAGCCATGTCCAAAATGCTCCATACGTAGGACTTATTTTCTCTAGCTTCTCGGAGAAAAGAAATTTCTCCTGAAAGTTGAAGAAACTGGAATGATTCAGGAACAGGTGTCGAAGAATTCGGAGATCTCTTGCACATGTGAAGCGCCAAAGGGGTCGCGATCTTGAGTGGCACGAATGTAGTACGCACCGTGCGTATGCGAAATGGAAATGTCGTGCACTCATGATGAACACGTGGCTTTTTGCAGTAGTTCTCATGCGCTGACCCCAAGTTTCAACTAATTTTGAAGTTCGGAGAGCTTTGGAGAGTCTCCTAAAATTCAGAGAAGATATAAGAACACTTCTCAAACGTTTCTGGGAGGATTTTAGACGCACCCGAAGAACGGAGAACACAGCATTTTGAGAGGATTTTCTGATTTGGTGTGCCGCCTGCTTGAAGTACATGTAGCTCGACCATGCATGGGGCATGACAAGTAACTTTATGCTATTGTAGTCCTGCTTGGGCAAATTTCGTTGTGGCTTGTACCGGTATTGAAGCTGATGACGGCAGTTTTGGTCCGGTAGTACAATGTATTATGGTAACCAATTGTTATTTCCATGGCCATGCTTTGTGTGCTGTGCTCATAATAGATGGAGAGTTTACAAAGGCATTGCAGTTATTCAGCGAATCTGGTGCATCAGAGGTAAGGCAGCACGAAGAAGAGAAGGTATACTTGTAACTCTCTTTTGAGCAAGTATAGTCTCTATTAGAATGTAATCCACGTGTAGGTGGCCTGGCACGAGCGAAGTTTCCCTAAGTGGTTCGTGTTCCTCAACACAATTGTATAGCTGGTGGGAACGTGCACATGCGAACTTTCTTCTCTTTTCTTAACGTTTTCATGATTTTCACAACACCTCCAACTCGCAACACACGAAGTCCTCGGCTACACCACGTACAGCGATTGGTTCCCAATTATCACGGAGGAGGGCATGATCAGGGATCGTGGTGTAGCCGAGAAGTTTGTGTGTTGCAAGTTGGAGGTGTAGTGAAAGAATCTTTCAAATAGATGACAAGGCTACAATGGAGCTTTAAAGTTCTGAAGAAGAAAAAACGTTTTCATGGTTGTAGAGACTATCATCCCGACCTTTTTTTATTATCATAGTGTACCCCCCCCCCCCCTGACAAGTCACTTGCAGTAATGTACACGAGAAAGAACTTTTTAAAGTAGCTCTGAAGGTGAAAACAAGTGCGATTCTCCCCGTGGTTATGTCCTTGAGACTGTGTATTTGTTCTTCTTCTGGCTTTGCAGAAACTGGCTGAGGGTGTCAAATCACTGTCAGATCTGCTCGACATCAATTCTGTCGTGGACGGCAATGCCAAGAAAGATCGGCCGAGCCGTGTGCGCTAAACTGCACTAGAGTACATGCAGCTGGCTCAGCCCAGAATCCTATATGGACAGGGCTGTACAGTAGAGAATGGCCGCTCGGCATCTTGACAACTAACGCAACGCCTATCTCGCTGGAGCAGGTTCATAAAACTTCACCCTGTTGCTTGAAGCTCACGAAAACATGCTTTCTGCGCTGCTGCATTGGTCATGTGTTATTCAGCTGACAACATGATCATGTCAGTACACAAAATATTAGGAACAAATACCACTCAATCTATCAGAGCAGTGTAGTGACCCCGGCCCCTTTCCACAGCGTGTTGCTCTGTGCAACTGTACACCGACTGCTACCTACACACGAATAGTACTTGTTTAGTAGTAGGCCGTGATTAGAATTTAGACCAACGATCCAGAGTACTTGACGAGAAGAGGAAGAACCATTCAAATTCTCCATGGAACACTTTGTGTCACGCGAATGAATGTTTCAGCATGCTGTGACTTTTAAAAGTAATTTATCATCTCTTTTTTTACACCGTAACGGAATAGCAGTATTCACATCTGTTTAGACTGGACTACTTGTACGTTGTTGTCTCGATCCTGCGGGTACCCTTGACCAAAGAATCAGTGCCTGGATACCCTTGAACTGTCCACTTTACACAACACCACCATGGCGAGGAGGACAATGCTGTTCAAGAATTGATATGGTCGAAGCCTCCTGATGGCTGTTTCATTCCTCTTGCATCATCTAAATTTACCTCCACCGAGGAGCACTGCAGGAACAACGTATCTGTCTGGTAGATTTGTCATTCATGACTGTCCTTGCCATGGTTGTGTCGTGCAAGTGGAGCTAGTGTGCCAGCAGAGAGCACAGCGTGGAGTGGTAGAATTAGCTAAATTATGCAGCCTGGCTCCTGAAGAGGGGGGGGGGGGGGGAGGAGGACATGATGAGTTCAATTCTCCATGCTTGATCAAACAATTAACATGCGGTCAGACTGACTGCTCCAGAACATTACCGAGTGGTTTTCTCCCTGGCTGGCATCATGGAAATGCGTGGTGCCCCACAGTTAGGTGTACACATCCAACCATTTCACACATTGCCCTGTCCCTGGGGAAAATCGCGATTCCACGGCCGCGTTTTTTCCGCGTTTTTTGCGATTTTTTAAAAGACCGCGTTTCCCCGCGTTTTTTGAACTCTTGTTGCACTACACGTACACACAGTGCACTGTTCGGTCAGCAACGTCTCATCGTGGCGGCTTTGTACTCAAATATGGCGAGTGCTTACGCCAGAGACTTGTAACTGATTGATTTCACTTAAGCGGGATTCACAGAAGCTTTTTTGCGATGCGACACGCGATGCGACAGGCGCGAAACCGGGAAAACCCCAAATCGCAGCCATGTCGCACCCCACGCAACTGACGCAACTGGGCCATCGCATGCCATCGCAGAAGTTGAGCTTGGCTCAACTTTTGCGATGCGATGCGATGCGACAAGCGATTTGGTGTACGATTTTGACCTTTTCTACAGCAAAGTTGTACAAAGGTGCAAGAGTTGCCTATAAATTTTTACAAGTTGTGTCAAACCGCGCGAATATCATGGTGACGTACCCAAATCAGCAAAACTTTGTCGCATCGCTGACTTCTTCTGTGAATGGTATTTCGCGAGTTCGCATCGCACGCATCCATCGCAGATCGCGTCGCATCGCGTGTCGCATCGCAAAAAAGCTTCTGTGAATCCCGCTTTAGGGGTGAAACAATTATACCGAATACTCGAGTACTCGCTCGTTTTTTTCAGAAATAATCGTACTCGGAATAAATCAGAGTACTCGTTCATACGTGGTACATGCATTTACCACAGAAATCTGCAATTTCAGAGCAGCAGTCGGCAGATATTGATATGCAGACTGTGTGGTGAACATTTGTTCACGAGTAGAGAGAGCCTAAATGACCCAGCAACCAATATACCAGAGAAAAAATGATTGCCACTCGGTTCAATCAGGGTTGTATCATGTGATTTTAAGGCCCTCGGTGTGCAATTTTTAGGAGATGAAGAATACTCGAATACTCGAATATTCGATCGGAGAAAATCAGAGTACTCGAACTCGGGATCTCAACGCCAACTTTCACCCCTAATACATACTCACTGAAAATTGCCGCATATCAATATTATTCACCGCATATTTACCGCAAATTCACCGCAAATTATGCCATATTATGCCGAGTTTTTCCCCGCGTTTTTTGCGATTTTTTCCCCGATTTTCCCCGGGCCGCGGGGGCAGATTGCCGACACATCCCCAGTGGGCATAAAACTCCACAGCCATGTCACTTCTGTACGGTGCCCCAACATTTTAAAATGTGAATCTGTCATGGAACTGGTTTATTATGCTAAAGAATGACAAGATGAATCAAGCGAATCACCCAGTATTAGAGATACCAAGAGTCCATGGGGGATTATTATGGACTCTTGCCGGAGATACACTACATGTATGCCGTGGCGCCATGGCAATGTACTCATTGCACTGATGACAAGAGTCCCACGGACTCTTGTTTTGATATCAAGAGTTACTACTCGTACACATAATATTGTAGTACTAGTATGCTCTCTTAACAAAGGATCCGCCAAAGTTCGTCATGTGCCAAGTGTTGCCGTGGAAGCACCAATCACACTCAAGTAATAGTTGAAAACAGGCACACGACAACACACGTCACATGACGAAAATTGCAAAAACAATTTTTTGGATTGTCGGATCCGTGTAAACGGCCGAAAACGAAACAAACGTGACGGAAAACGAGGCCAGCACACCGTTTCGACTGTTTACACACCCAAATTTATCCGGCAGAACATTTCCGTTTTCAAATTCTTCCACCTTGGCCAGCGTTTTGGTTTTCTTCCGTTTTGGTGTACAACTTTTACGTTTTGCTCCGCGTACCGTGTAAATGAACCATGGATCCGAAAGGATTTCGTTGCGTTTTCGCCCCCAGCGTTGTCGTGTAAACGCAGCCTGAGAAGACGTCAATCAATGATCTGTACAAGTCATACATGTACG